AAAGACGTTGAATATTGTACAACTTAACTTTTAATTCGATTAAGTAAAATACTTTAATTTCATAAAATTTTTGAAGTGCTTGACGTAACAGACAAAGTTTAGAAAAGATAAAAATCTAAAAAATGTATGAAATACTTAACAAATGATTCTATAAAATATTATTATATTTCTGTTGACAAAATCACGCCATACATTTCTCATAAAAATAAAATATTTTATTATAATATTCAAAATATTAGTATAAAATAAAATCGTATTACATATAGCATAAATAGCAGACATATAGCACACATAATAGCAGACAACTGATAATAAACTATTATAAAATTTCTCTAACTAGTTCCACATTTTCAACGATTATCGTATATATTACACTTTTATCTAAACTCGAGAATTTTCAAATTAAAACAAAGTTCTCTATCGGGGTTCCGTGGTGTAGCGGTTATCACGTCTGCTTTACACGCAGAAGGTCGCCAGTTCGATCCCGGCCGGAACCATTATTTTTTTTTCTCCAAAAAAATCTCATACTTATACTCAATGAAACAATTACATTCGTACATGTAAAATAGTACATTCTATTAATATTTTAGATATTGCAATTTTAAATACTACGTAGAAAATGAGTTTTGCAAATATGTTAACGTGTACGTGAAGTATTTTACATTTAGATGTTAGACTAATTGTATCAGCTTTGAGAAAACCTTGACTCCGCGAGTGTAGATTATAAATAAGGAGTTTTGCAAAATGTGTGAATTTTTATGCAAAATGAATATATTGTATTAATTGCAAGATACACGAGCTACGTAGAAATCTATTGCCTTCTTCAATCATTTTAATCAGTTGACAGTATCGCAACAGTATTTTTGTAATAAATGTTTAAAATTTCACAGTCTAGTTATTACGTATGAAACAGTCGGTTACGCAATAACTATGTTTAAAGCAATTTAGTCAAGAAATGTCTATTACTTTATGATATGTATATCAAATACTCCGAGATCTAATCTTTGAGGACCAATATTAATTTCATCTGTAATCCTCTTGTGCAAGTAGAAAGATAATTACGTTGTTATGTAATATACTCATTTTCGGTCTCTTCTGCGTATTTTCTTCAATAATATATTACCTGTTAATTTATTGTATCTTAATTCGTAATTTTAATTAAATTATATCGTAATTCATAATTTTAATTCAATTAGATCATAATTTGTAATTAATGTAATTTATTTCTTTAATATTTTATAAATTAGTCCAATTGCACAATTACGTATTACATTATAATTTAATTGAATGGGGATCTGAATTATGAATTACGATGTGATCGAATTATAATGAAATTGAATTATTTTGTTATTACAATATCTTGAGTGATTCAATTGTAATACTGCACAATTCTGCAATCAACTATAGATTAAATACCACTATAATAGTTATTTCTTATTTTCATGTCAAATAAAACTTGTACAAATCCGTTCCATACTAATCGCTATTTTATTGTTCTATTTCAGATGTTAGCGAGTGAATTAACGTAGGTTGCAATGTCGCCGCTATGAACGAGAGCCGTTGCTACACCGATTCGCCTGCGTTCGCTGTACATCAGTCATTCAACCGGAATGGGAAGGCACTTAGGTGTGATTATCATCAACATAGTCTATGCTACCGTACCGATATTATATGTTTCCATTTAATTCGGTGCTGTCGAACGTAAACGGCGGGCCTTCCGGCGCATCCCCCTGTGTCTTTCCCGTTGGTATAGTAGAAGAGGAATGCGGGTTAATGTTATACGTGCACCCGGTTTACACAAGCACAATATGGCACGTTAGAGAAAGAGACAAGCTGGGTAAGGGGATCCTTCTAGGGACAGCGCCGGTTTAATTGCTCGCGAGCAGGAGGGCGTGGAGAGAAGTCCGCGCACTGTCCACTGATTTATCGCTCGTAATTGAAGAGAAGAAATCGAAAAAGAAACTTCCAATCACGGGCATTACTAGCAATTAATTTCTAGCTGTTTCTTCGTTTTTCAATCGACCTCCACGCTCTAAATAGAGCTCTTGTTACTTCACTTCATCTAGCGTATGCATTTTACAATAATTATAGTGGACGCAAATATAAATATTCTGTACACCCCCGTATAGAAGTATGAGGACATTCTATTGGATTTAGGAAAGACGAGTCGATACCATGTAAGGTAAAAGTACCTATTAGGGAATACTTTTCAAAGAATATATTGAGATTATCATCAATTTTATTACAACTCATAAGTGTTAGTGTTGAATGTTTAAACTAATGTTCGATATATTGATGTTTCTGGATAACGTAATGAAATATTTATTTATATTTATTCATATTTGAAATATTTATTTAATATGAATGCAAAATAATACTAATAAAATAGTCAAGTATTAGCGTGTATCTATTGTAGAACATCGTTTTCGTACCATGTCCTCGTGTACCATAAATCGTGTGAGTGTATTTATAAAGAATAATGTTCCAAAAATGTATGGTTAAAATGTTTACATCCACTTTCATATGCTCTTCTTATACCTCAATTTGTTAATATGTGACTTTTATTATTTCAATGTAGTTTAGTAGTCTTATTATGACACAGTTAGTTGAAACAATGACTCTTAATACATCGTATATATATATATGGGTAAACCATTATTAACGTAAAATTCAATATGTGTATGTTTATTTGCGATCCGTGATGGATAGGTATTTATTTTCTTGTAATATCAATTCTGAAACGAACTCTAGTATACGAATGTTTCTTTTTCTTCTTAAATAACACAATATATTCTCATGGGCGGAGGTGTACAGTACAGCTAAAAAATTAATGTTAAAATTAAATTAATCAGTTAAAAATGAATACTTAATCAGAAGCATTTTTATTTTATTTCGAGACGCTACATTTTTAAAAGAACCAATTTTGTATAATAATAAAAATTATTGTTTGCTTCTTTATGTATATTACTCAAAAATACTCTTGTAATTCGTATTTACGAATGAAAATGTCGTTGATAGAGTTCTGCATCGTTACATATGTATACAGAAAATGTCTACGATGATTATGTACCGAAGTGTAACGAAATCCTGAATCTATGACTAAGCAGATTGTTACTGCACGACGGAACAGATTGCGATTCACCGGCGCACAATCGCGATGCGCGCCACTCTAAAACGAGGAAATGCAGCTGTCGTGATTTCTCTTTCACAAAAACGTATTAAAGAGAGCTCATTTTAGGGGATCGAAGAAAAGTGTACTATTCTATACGACCGACTGCGGCGACGACAAGGAAGATTTGGGTTTCAAGCTTCAGCAACGATCAGTGTCATTGGTGAGTCACAAATATTTTATAATTGGAAATAGGTTTTAATTACTGCAGACATTTCTATTTATCAATTTCTAAATATTAGAATTCAGTATTTATAGTTATCTTATGGAAATAAATAGTTTCCACGTATATTAACGGATTTTATATCCTACATTTTAACATACGAGAAATCTTACAACTGTACAGATGTATTTTCAATATGAAATTTTTCAGCAGTTATGTCAATGATACAATCATTAAATACACAGCTTATTTATTATTCAATTAGAGGAACATAATCGTAAAAGCTTGATATCACTTTTATCACTTCCGAGTTCGAAACACTTTAATTCTTTACTAACTTTACTTTTTATGAAACTGCGATACATATTTATCAGACTTCTTGCATATCGCATGAATTCACGAACATCAATTTATTTTTTGTAAAAAAATAATCAATTTAATCAATTTAATTTGTAAAAAAGTATCAATTTATTTTTTACACAAAAATTTTTTTGTAAAAAATAAATTGATAAATTATAATTAATAAATTGATTAATAAATAAACATAATTAATAAATGATAATTTAATAAATTCTAATTGAATCAGGCAAACGAATATATTTTCATTCTTTCGTTATACAGTAGCTGACAAAAGTTTTCGAGTACCTTTTAAAACGCAAAAACTTTTTTCGGACTGGACTAAATGATTTGAATTTTTTTTAATGATAGAGGGGCTAATCCACTAAACAATAACTGAAATGCTTTCTCTGAATTTTGCTCTTATTTGGAATGACAAAAAAAGTAAAAATCTTTCATTTTTAACTTTTTTATCTGAACCCATAACAAAAATTTTAAAAATGTATTTCGTAGATCTCTGTAACTTACATGCACGTTGAAGATTTGATCGAAATCGGTTGACGTTGTTCTGAGTTACAACAAATTAAAGATCGCAAGAACTGCAATTTTGTCACGTTTGTTGACACCTTCGACCGAAAACTATAAGAAATCTGCAGTGTTTAAAATCTTTCAACGCCTGTAGCTTGATTCTGGATTAACCGATTTTATAAAATTATTGTTATAAGCTAAGATAAAAAAGTTAAGAAGTGAGAGCTTTTTACAGAAATTAGTTTGTTTCTATCGGAATGTCTTCATAATTACTCTTTTACTTTTACTTCCAGCATTCGGAGAATGTGAAAGTTTTACTCTTTTTTGTAATCGTTCGCGTGTAATGATTATACAATATACAATGGTTATAAATTTCCACCCTTTCGGGCAACTGTTTGTTTACCGTCAGTGCGTCTAAGTCAGCAACTTAATTATCAGTTTGCAATACGTAATATCGTATATAAATGAAAAGACTAAAGTTTTTGCATAGACCTAACATTTCACATAACTGATTCTATACTCGATGAACCAGGGGAAAGAAGTGTCAAATGTTCAATACCTCTAATTGAAAAAAATATAATAAAAAATACTATTTACGGAGAAAATGTTTTATCGTCCCGTACGAGCAGAAAATGGTTTGATCGATTTCGTGAAAGAAATTTCGATTTTAAAGATCAACCACGTTCTGAATGTTCAACTAAATTAGAGGAGAAAACAGTTCGTAATCCAGTGAAAGAAACTTGAGAATCAATACAAGAGATGTCTGGAAATTTGAATATCCCAAAATAATTCGTACACAGATGCTTAACACTATTTTCACCAAAGGGTTCAAGAGACAGCTTTCAAGATTTTAATTTGACACTATTTCTACCAACGAGATCACACAGAGGACACCTTGTAAAATTTTAATTTTTAGTTACTTCATAAGTTCAATCAGGCTTTTCCTTCATTAATTGTTCAACTTTTTCCATAAAAATTACAAAATTAATTTGGTAAAAATAGGTGTACACACAAAAAATCGATAGAAACAGTGTTAAATAAAATGGAAACGGTAAACCGCATGAACTGCTGAGACAAGCCAATATGAACGTTGGCTTTCTCAAGAAGAACTGCGGAATAAAGTCGTTTCACGCGGACATTGCTGGCTAATCCGAGATTAGAAATCAGCGTATCCAGTATCTGTTCGGATCGGCTTCCGGGTCGGCAGAGTTGATGGAAGCCTTCATCCCCAACAATGATTATACGTTCCTTCCTTGCGAGCACACCCACGACTTCCTCCAATGATTAACGAACGAATCCATGGTGAACCGAGGATGCCTTTTAATCGCTTCAATTAAGTGCGTTGAACCGGCACGTGGGGCAGCGGTAACTTTCATCGTGCCCCAATGACAAAGCAGTAACCTTCCTCGATAATAGCTCGAGATTCTTTGTTTAATGACAGCAGTGTCAAGCAGCTTGAAAGCCCAATGCCGCTTCGTGGCTCAATGTGTTGTGTGCATACAGGCCAAAACTGGTGTATATCGGGTTTGCGTTACGTTGAATGACGAGTCAATTATGCCCGCTGAAAGACGGCCGTAATTATGACGGGATGCAGCTGGATTAGCTATAAGAAAGCAAGAGGTTCCGCTTAAGTGAAAGGTCGAGATGAATCGGTGATATACTTGCTCGAGCAGAAATCGCTTCTCAGCAGCGTAAAATTGATTTTGTGCCCGTGTAATTTCGGAGGATTAAATGGATCCCACGTGAATTGTAGGCTCATCGGCCGGATTTCTGGCTAGGTTCTATTGCTGAATCTAGAATTAATTATTGGACTGCGATTTCGCGCATTCGTGACATAAATAAGTTAACTTAAACGAGAAACATTGAAAACAATTTAAAAGTACTGCGGTATTATGTTCAACTCATCAACATTATTGAGATGTGAAATAAATGTTTGCGTAGCTGCTGCATTCTGCGATCGATACGGACAATTTTTATTATGCACAACGATCCGCACTCCATTAATTAGTAGTACATTACAAGAGTAAATTATAGGTATACTTACGCTAACATCTACACTTATTTATTTATCTGCAGTAAACAGTAAAATTACAATTACTCTGCGCTTTTACAATTATATAAACCGTTGCGTATTTGCGATTTAAGAATTATTAAAAACTATTCAGTAACTTTTTGCTTCCTTCTGGGAAACAATTGCAATTAGGCATTAAAATCGTCGGCCTATTTGCACAATTTTGAAGCATTTTCAAAATACTTTTTTAAGTATTTAAAACTGTGTCTACGATCGCACATGATCGCAGATGAACATTTAGACGTTTCTATAAATAAATGGAAATATTAGGTATACAAATTAATTTGTTATGAATTTGTCATGAAATTTGATATTCCTTTCATGCATAAAATGAGGTTCTAATTATGCTCATTGCATAAAATAGTGGTCTACAGAGGACGGTATCCTTTTTTAACAATATTTGATATTATGTGATGTTATATGATGTTATATGTGATATTGTGTGATGTTATATTTGATATTCAATAATTTACATATTATCTGAAGAAATATAGTACAACAATATACTTAGATAGCATTAAAGTAATATGATTATAGTAAAATAATAAAGTTCTCATTTTTTATGTCGATTCGCTTAACTTGAATTCTTCGACGATATGGCAGTGTACTCATCCAATCCAAGATCAATTCTTTCAAGTTTCGTAAATTCTACAATATCTTCTGCGTTGTCTTCTCGAAATTGTTCTTCAAACCTATCCATTTTTACCTATTTGAAGAAAATATAAAAACTTCGAACGTTTTGCCGTATCTTTTATTTCATGCTTAGCTTGAGATGACATAATTTGTTGAGAACCTGTTTGACCTCGTAAAAAATAGGAATTGTACAATACATAACTGCCGCAATACGCTGAATCAGCCGAAATGCGTGTTCCGTATTTAATTGGATCGTATTTTATGTATTGGGAAATGTGTTTCCTCTCAGTTGAAGTCTTTTTCTGATAAGAAAAAAGATAATGACTCGTTTCACTATTTTTATAGTTTATTTGTTATGCACTTTTCTACATATCTTTCAATATTTGCACTTTACATTGTTATTTTATCATTGTTATAGTTAATATTTCTATTTGATCTAAATATATTTTTACGAAGAGTTCATTGATCAATATTGGCGCACAAAACATGTTATCAATTCGTCAACTTTATATAATAATTATAAGCAGACTGCGAATTTTTATGCAAATTCTCATTTGCATTCGTTGTTTTATAAGAACGAGAATTGAAGAAACTAAAAGGCAACTAAGAGATTACTTATTGAAAAAGTAAAATAAAAATGCCAGTAGACCTTGTTAATTTATATGTTCTATTGCATTTTAAAAATCTGCGCATTTCACAAATGCATCTGCAGTCTACATGTATTGTCATACGATATGTCGGTTCTTACTTTTATCGGTTTAATCAATTTTTGTTTTGGTTTTTAAAGAACGATGTACCTTACAATTAGACTGCGGATTTACATACAAAATAAATGTTTTCTCTATTAAGTCTATTAACTATTTCCACTTGGATAACGACTCTGAGACACCAATCAAATTTACCATGTTGTAATTTAAAACAATTTTTACGTTACTAAATTTCTTTCCATTTAAAAAGACACCTAAAAATTGAAGTTTGTAGAACATTATGTGTAAAAAGAGAATAAAAGCCGAGAAAAAATAAAAATGTTCATGGTCGGAAGAAATGTCTCAAGCAAAATACCTTCGCGTGCAAAGACTTAACGGTGTAATAGTGAAGTTTCTAATATGCAATTATGTGCATGCTTGATGGATGATCTGAATGGGAAGAGTGAAGGAACGAGTGTCAACTGGTTTGATAATATTGATTAATTGATTAATGGCATTGTGTCCGAACATTTGTACGAAAATATAACTATTTCGCTTCCAACTCTTACAACTATAAATTCTGATTGTTATAAATTGAAAACAATACAATAGTTTCAAATTCCTTAAATGGTTTCACTGTAAATCTTGATTTTAATGAATTGGAAACGCGTACCAGTTTTAAATTCTTTAAATGACCCCAGTGTTTCACACTTGATATACTAAGTTTCTCAAAACTGCATAAAATA